CACCTCGCTCAGCCAGTGAGTGGGAACCGGTCTGTATGTGGGATCGGAACCCTCGGCGGGAGCGCCGCCACACTCCCAAGCGGCGCACTGTAGCAGTGCGCCACCGGGCCGGCCCAGGACTACTATTTTTTAAAAACCTCTAACATTTGACAATTTTTATACTATTCCAAATGAAATATATACAATATTGGCATTTTTGTCTGTTTTAGAGCTAACGATGATGATGATGATGATGATAGCAGTCAATTGATGTTATGTTCCAGGCATTCTATTAAGTTCGTTTGATTCTCATAGCAATTTCATTAGATAAATACTATTATCTCTGTGTTACGGAGGAGGAAAAAACACTTTTATCCTTATGTTACTGATGAATCTACTGGTCAGAGAGGTAAAATAATTTGTCCAAAGTAGAAAGTGGTGAAGCCGGGAGTTAAACCTGGGTCTTGTTTGATTCCAAAGTATGTGCTTATCATCTTTACACTATTTGCCCTGTCTGAATGAACAGAATCATATTCCCAGACAAAATATTGAGACCCATAGCTGGACAAAACACTTTTAAAGTTTATTTACATGAAAACTTTTATAAAGCCATAAACATCAGCTGGACATTTAGTTCAAGATTCAACAACTTTTCTGCTATAGCATAAGCTTAAAAGAAATTGGAAACAATGGGAAATGCGGTTATGATCTATGTCTCTATCTGTAGATAAATATAATTAAAGTGATCAGCCTAAAAGTGTGACCTTAAAATTAATTTTAAGTGAAAAAGCCCTTAATAGTTTGTGAATATATGAGGGTACTTCAAAGAGTTTGTGGAAAAGTAGAATTAAAAGATAATAAAATTCTTTTCATGAACTTTTTGAAGACCCCTCATATTTGCCTCCTCTAGTTTTCTGGGAAATCAAACTATTAAGGGGCGGTTCTCAGATAAAGGCAAAATATCAACCTCTTGTCAGTCAAATGTAATTTACCCCTCTTCATGTCTTAAAATGTTTGTGGGAGGTGGTCTGTGTGTGTGTGTGTGTGTGTGTTCTTCATAGCAGGAGGACAACTCCATCCTGGAAATGTTGTGATGGTTTCCAGATGTTTGTTTTTCCAAAAAAAAAAAAAAGTCAAAATGTGTTGATAGCCAGGTATTTGTCTCTAAAGACACTCTCCCCGTACTGGCCAGCCACAAAAATAAATTTTTAAAAAAAGATAAAATAAGAGATACTATGATCATACTCTGTTACAAGAGAGGAACTTGTCTCGCTTCTCTGTGCCTTAGCTTCTCTGTGCCTTATCGTGTGGATTGTTTTGTGTTTGGGCCACACACAAGAAGTATAAAGGATCACTTGCAATATGTTGATTTGTATCTACTGTATTCTTATATCCACTTCTGAATGCCACTGAAAACCATTGCTTAGAAAATCCTGTAGGATTATTATCTTTGAAGTATTTGGAGTCACAGTCCTTTTTTTTTTTTTTGGTGGCTGGCGTCTACGGGGATTGAACCCTGGACCTTGGTATTATCAGCACTACACTCTAAACGTGCTAACCGGCTAGACTGCAATCTGTTTTCTTTAAGAAGGCTGTATTGTGGTTATTGACATTAAAAATGAATGTCTTTTTCATTTGTGGGCTAAATCTTTGAATACCATTTTAAAATATAAGGAAGTGTACCCTGAACTTAGGGAAGTCACACATAGATCTTAGTTCCTCTAATTACTTTTGGCAGTTTATTTGTCATAGATTTGTGGCAAATTCTCTGGAATCATGTGATCTGAAGTATAGATCGTGGCCTCAAAATCTGAAGCCGGTATGCACATGGAACTCTTTAGATAGTTGTTTCAGTCTATCTTCAAGTGATATGTGATAAAACCTAAATTACGGTGGTGTTGTGGGACAAAAAACCAACCCACTCTGCTTCAAAATCTTAACCACTTTACTCCGCACCCATTGAATCATGTAATTTTTAGTTCTTCCTTGGTTCTCTGTTCACCTTCTGTACCTCTCTTTTTCTTATCTGGAAAAAGAGAAATAAATGGGTCCAAAATGCAGATTCTGTAGTTAGAGAATGAGTAAGAAGACGCTGTAAAGTGTACCCTCAGCCGACTTGGAGATCCATGGGAATGAAAAAAGTTAGTAGATCTAAAAGATGTGTGGAAAGGAAATTTCTCTGCACACAGGATCTGCCAATTTGTGAAAGCTCTCGCACATCTATAAACGCAAAGGCCAAAACTTCACTGATGAAAAAA